AGTATATTGCAAATTATGGTTCAGGAAAGGTAGAGAACACAAAATGCACAATTTAACTTTGATTTGCGAATATTTATCCCATACTTATAAAAGTCTCAAAATCAGTCATTGTATACTAAGTTTGATTTAAGTAGAGAAAAAAACAAGCACCCTGCATGTGCAGTGATATTAAATCACAGCAAAATAATGTTAGTACTCTCAAGGTACCCTGCGAGCAGAGATTTTGGAAAAATCCTATGCACGCAGGGTATCTCAAGGCAAAATGAGACTGTTTGGGTAATGTCATGTAATGAAACAATGTACATTGATTTATGACAAAAACTGCATGCCTTGCAATAACGTCTTTGGTGGACCTTAGAAAATGCAATGTACATGTAAATGTTGGAAACTGTCAAGGATATATAACCAAAAGAACCTATTATTAACAGAGTTGCCTTAATTATACAGTCAATATATTTGAACAAAACTGGTAACACGGTATATCATGATATATCATCAAGCATTGGTTTGGAATTTTTGAATGCCTTTTGGAAATGCTACTATGCAAGTTTTATATGACTGTTGAGTGTAGCACTTAGAGCGGATTTCGTATGAGTGGGAAACGGAAGGTACTGTACTGTGTCCGTAATCGTACGTGTAACCAAATTCTAGTGCCCCATTGTTTCACCAAAATTCTGCAGGCCAGGTGCGGTAACTGTGCGGTAACCGTGTGGTAACGGTGTCCCACTCATACGAAATCCGCTCTAGCTATTTATTGCAAAGGTCATGGAGAATTCAAGCTTTTTGATTCTCATGCAAGAGATTTTCTTGGCTTACCATATCTTAAAGGTACTTGTGTGCTTTTTTAAATCAATGACTGTACTACATTGAACAACTTTCAGAATTTATATGTTGGAGCTGACCGTTCAAAATTTTAATTGAATTAAGGGTGTGCATATTGAATGTCTGAATTGTGCTTAGATCATAATATCAAACATTMTGAAGAAATGCATGGCAATAATATAAGGAAGTTGCTTTACATAATAATAATGAAAACTGCAATTGTAACCAATGACAACATTACACCTCTTAAATGTTAAGTGTGCTATATTATTTTATGGYATGGTTTTCAGTAAGCAAAAATACTGGTATATAAGTAAAGMRTGATGTACTCTAGGCCGTCAAGTTTCTGACAGGGATTGATCGCAATGTTTTTGCTCTTTCTTTTGCTTGCCATCAAGGACACCCATACATGTACATCATTTTGTGGGGAACAAAAAGACTTGCTGACAAGAGTTAGAGACACCCTTCCCATTCTCTGAGTAGCCCGACTTTACGCTCATAGAGCGTCTAGTTTTATTTATTCGTGACGTTGAAGTTTTTGCATGTGAAAATGCACTTTGATGACGGCGGCAAATATTGCTTCTGATTGGTCAATGAACAATTCCAGAAATATTTCTAGGCGGTCACACTTTTTCGGTTTGCACACAGTAGTTGTTATTTTTCAAAGATGTTATTTGTCAAGGATGGACAATAAGCTTAATGTGGTCAGCAGAGAATAATGTAAAATATACTTAAGTTCATTCTTACCTTATAGCCAAAGAATTTCGGCAGATTAGCAATTTCTATCTTGAAAATTTCGGAGGTAAATTCGTTTGCTCTTTTGGTGTAGGAATAAGGTTCTAAAATGGACTCCCTGTTCGCTTCCATACCTTCGTCTTCGTACGCAATGGCGTTGTCTTCACCAACAGTTTCTTCACAATCGTCATTGCTGTTTGATGCCTTGCAGCTCATGATTTCTGCAGTTGCAGTTTCTTGCCGGGGATTTTGAGCATCGATAGTGGTAAGATCATGAAATAATTCATGCTCTGTGTTGCAAGTATCACATGAAGAGCTAGCTTCCATAACTCCGATTCCTTGAAGATCGATTTTTAATGCAGGGATTCCCTTGAGTTCCTAGAGTTAGGACGCACGTTGTCCACCATTATATATTCGCGTCTGCAAATTTTTAATTCAGCGGAATAGACCCAAACAGGTAACCCATTCATATCACCTTCCTGTCCGATTTCCAAATTACTATGGTTAGGCTCTGTAGCAGGCATTCTTAGTTGCGCATTATTTTAGCAATTTAATAATAATACCAAGAAATAAATGAGAAAACCGTGGGTCGAAAACCGTATCTCTTATCTCCATAAATGCGACTTGCCCCGAGACTTCCCCGCCAAAAGGGTCCCGGAAACGGGAGCCCTGTATCTTTCGAACATCAAACAAGCAAGATGGCGACTGCATTTCGTTGTCGATTTGATAGCCTTCGTTCTGTTTGTAAATTCCCCCTGCAAACACAAATACTCAGGGCATTTTCCGTGTCAACGTCGAAAGGAGATTCCAAGGACTCGTTCTTTGGTCGTTTAACAGGTGCTCCATCAATAGAACGAGCAACCGATGCACATTCCAAAGTACTAACAGGAAAGGAGACTCTTTATGAACTAGACGGTGAGTTTGACTTTTAGAAATTTATTTAGGTGTATGCTAAAGGTTATTTTTGTTTCATTCTTTAAATCCATGGATTAACAATGTGCGTAAGAACTATAGAACTCTCTATTGTTCTGCGGCATTGCAACTTCCCACATACATATGTCTTGGTTTTCACAAATAAGCTTAAGTTTTATATCAACCTATGGGTAACACATTTTTAGAATAAAATGTGGATAAACTCTATTTTGAAACAAAGTTTCTTTTGTATTAAAACCTCTTATCCAATCATAAGCACTCAAAACAATAGCCAAAAGAAGCTTCTAATTTGCTATGTTCCCCACATAGAATTACCTTAATATTGTAGCTAAAGAAAGCTTTCATGAAGTCTGCACAATTAGTTCCAGTCCGAGGTATTAGGACTTAAAATCCMGTCCAGTTCAAATTGGAGGACTTTGAAGGACTTCTCATACTCATTAATTATTCGGGAGGGGTAAAAAGGGAAGGAAATACATTACAGAAATATATTTATTTATCGCATCTCCACCAAGGTTTTCAGTTTTCATAATTTTGAATACATGAAGCACTTGTTGTTCTCCAATTCCCGAACGGCTTTCTGAAACAAAAGCTATTCAGACCAATTCTCTTTGTCTGCTATTCATGGCATTCCTAATGAACCTAATTCATAACATTTATAAGTATGTTGTCTTCCTAGCAATTGCATCAGAAACTCGGTGGTGTAATGGTATAAGACGGCGCATATAGACTGGACGGTTGGGGATTGTTTTGTGAGGCAGTCATTTATCAAAGACCTTTTTTCACTAAATTAATTCTATGTATTATTTCTAATACTTTGATTATCATTAGCTAGTAGAAGTTAGAAAAAGGTAGATTGAAGTAACTGGAAACAAGGTGAAAATAAGTAGAAATGAAAATACGTAGAATACAAGGTAGGAGTACTTCCTCTGGTATCCAGTTACCGCACGTGGTACAAATTACAATCAGGGATTGGCTGGATACCTCACAAATAATTAATGAGTATGAGAATTTATAATATATAACACTTCTTATAGCATGAAGAAATTACTTTTGTTTTTGTCGTTTTGCAGTTGCAAGAAATTCGTAATGATTTATCCATTAA